GATAGCAATGTGGCCCAGGTGACTCCAAGGCTCCCGCTCGGGGCACTTTCTTTACACGCTCTTCAGAAACCATCTCTGTATCATCGGCTCCTGGCGCATCCTTTGTCTTCACCTTTGGGTCACACTGCTCGTCCAGCTCCACGAGTCCCACAAGCTCATCTTTTTTGTGCTCCTGGATTTCAGGACCTCCCTTTTTCTCCGCCAACGGCTTTGCCTCATCTGCTGTAGTTCGCTCGGTGTCGACTTCCGGTGAACTTCCAGACGGCAACGCTTCTCCCTTCATGGGAGTGGACCCATCATTGGAGTCCTTTGTCTCACCTTCTGCAGCAGGCAAATCTTCTTCCACTGCAGGGCAATTGAGTCGATCATCCACGGCAGGCACGCTTTCTTCCACCGCAGGCTCCTTTGGTTCCATGGCCTCCAAAGGAGAATTTCCACCATCATTGACCACAGCTGCCTCATTGGCTCCGGTGTAGCCCTTGTCATTTCGTTCCTCGCTGCTAACTTCAGGTTGCACCAGTGCGTCCACCTGTGAACCTCCATCATCAGCTGCTGCGGAGACCTGCGCCCCATTGTTGCAGTCGCCCGTGGAACGTACCACCACATGCACCTCAACCCGTGCTTCCTTCGCACTCCAGGTAATATCTGGCGCATCAACCCGCGCATCATTGGCGCTCCAGGCCTCATTTTTCAGATCATCCGTGCCTCCAGCTATTCCAGAAGCTTCTTTTTCCCCTTGAATGGCAGAATTCTTGGCACCAAACGAAGAGACCTCCTCAGTCGTAACACACAACTTTTTCTCTCCATCCTCCGAATCTCCAGGACCACCTTCCTGAACAACAGGTACCACATCCACCACTCGCTCTTCTGCAGCCGACACAGGTCCGATCACCTCATTGGGCATTTTCTCTTCTGGATCCACCAATTCCATCGCTGCCCCACCCTCAGAAAGCGCTTCTGTTTCTTCCCGATCCAGGTGTTGAGCTCCAGCGATGTTGGCTTGGTTCCCAGGAATCCCTTCCTCATCAGGAGAACCCGAGGTCGGGGCGTCACCATCAGCCCTAGGACCGCTATCCCTGATAGTAGAGGAAAAATCTTTTCACCTAAACTATTTACACTACCCTGGAATGCCCTCGTAGACTCAGTCTTCGGAGTAGAGGATGAAGAATCCAGCGCCGCCTCCATTTCCAGCTCATTGCCCAAAGGAGACCCAACCACCTCGTCACTCTTCACCTTTTCACCTACCACCGGCAATGTCCACTTGGTTTCGTGCGTATCCAGGCAGTAATAATATTGTCTCCCATCTTCATGGAGGTGCACTTCCCACATTGTGCCATCACACGCTTGGATCAGATGCTCGTCTTTCCGAAAACCGTCCCTTTCAGAAACCTGTCGCATCTCGTCCTCTTCTTCTGACAGCTGTCGCAACCGTTCAGCCTCCATCTGTAGGATCTCCTCCTCCCCCATGGCGTATTCAGCAGCAGGTGCAGCTTCAAAGCCGTCCGCACCCGTCTGTTTATGACCGCTTCCACCACCTTGGGAACTCGAAGATGGACCCTTTTTGATCTTGTTCAACGGCCTCCTGGTCGCTTGTAGCACTTCTCCAATCAGATCGGTCTGAGACTCTTGGTCTACCATTCGACCCGAAGTCGAAGACGACGGCTGGTACCCGTGTTTGTGTAACACTCGTAAAACAGTCACCTCCATTTCACGATCTATGCCACCAGTCGCATCCCAGTTCCTTTTTCACCAGGCTTTGGCGGTACAGAAACAGCACGTCCTTCAGCTTCAGCATTGCTAACCATATCCCTATTGGGATTCATACCCGCATTGGGGCTTTCTGCAACCAAGGCCTCTTCCAGATGTACTTCAGCGTCGGGAATCACCTCTTCCAACACCGATCTTTCACCCAGAGACTCAGCTGCACCATTTCCAGCTCCACCATCTTGTCCACCATCCGAGGCAAGTTGGAGCCATCGCTTCGGAGAAGGCATTGCTTCTTGATCCCAAAACCTTGAAAGAACACTTAACCGCAGGGAACCTAATTTGGGCTCATAACCTACGGGGGGACAAGCAAGGAAGGAAATCTACTCCCCTAATCGCCCTGAACTTATATTTCCCAGATCGAACCAAGAAACAACCAAGAACACGGATAAGAGCAACCCAGGGGGGAAGGAAAGGGGGAAGGAATCCACACCCTTACCAAACCCTAAGAACCCAGGCACTACTTTTTGAACTTGTGGCTTTCTGTTCAAGCCCATCTTGAGCCAAATACGATTACCGGGTTCATTAACCCTTCCAACTTCCAACACTAACTCCTTTCTACAATACCAATTGCAGCTCCGCATAGGGTTTAGGGTTTAGGGTTTAGGGTTTAGGGTTTAGGGTTTAGGGTTTAGGCTCATATAGTACATACTTGGGCCTTAAAGGGCTTCCTATAAGGTAGCTCTATACAGGTACATGGATCCTGAGGGAGCCCTCAGTCCCTAAACCCCGAACCACAAACACCATAAACCCTAGACACATGCTGGGTTCCTCCCTTTTTTGCTTTTTAAGTCTCTGTCTCAGTTTGGAATTAGGAGAAAATAGGTTCTTGTAAGGTTTCGGACTTGTGGGGTTTATGTAGGGTTTAGGGTTCAGGGTTTCGGGTTTAGGGTTTAGGGTTTGGGCTTCCCTTATGAGGTTTGGGGGTCTAGGGTGCGGCAGGACCAGTTGAATCTCATGTTTTGCGCAGTACCCAGGGCACGGCATAGTTCCCCGTAAAGTCTTGACATCGCGGTTGGACGCAAGAAAAGCTGGGTTCTGGAGTACTATACTTCAATGCTTTGTTGGGTTCTGTTTTTTTTTAATATTGCTACTTCTACCTAACAAGTATATACCCTCTGTTACTATAGCTACTTATACCTAAGAAGTATATACCTTCTTTTCCTCCAAAGAAGGGAGAAGGGCTGCGGCGTATCAAGGCCAAATCAGATCTGACTACCATCCCAGAGGGTTTTGAGCTTGTGGGGTTTACTACTAATTGCCTGAAGAACCCCCAGCCCAAAAAAAAAAACAAGAATAGTATCCTTATTAAGGGTAATACAGGGATCCTTGTTTTTGTTATTCTTTTGGGGCTCTTAAGCAAATAGTAGCTTAGGGTTCGGGTTCGGGACGAAGGGTTTAAGGTTTAGGGTTCCGGATCTCGGGCTTAGGCGGTATAGGCTTTAGGCTTTAGGGGTTACGGTTTTGGCATAAAGGTTCCCTAAACCCTAAACCCTAAACCCTAAACCCTTGAGGCTTTCGGGTTCAGGGTTTGGGATTTCGGGTTTCCAGGCTTTCGGGCGCCGAGCGGGTGCCGAGGTTGCTACAAGGCAGCTTAGATATCTGGAGTTCCTCTGGGGGGAGCCCTTCATGCCCTCGTAAGCGAGGGTTTAGGGTTTGGGGTTTAGGGTTTAGGGTTTAGGGTTTAGGGTTTAGGGTTTAGGGTTTAGGTTTAGGGTTTAGGGTTTAGGGTTTAACTCTAAACCCTCTAGAAACCTCAACCCTAAACCCGAGTGCCCGCCCTAAGCTTGAACCTCTCAGGGCCAAGGCAAGTAAACCCGATGAACCCTAAACCCTCAACCGATAGACACCATATGGCCCTGACCCGAAAGCCCTGAACACCCTGAACTCCCCAATTTCAGCCCTCAACCCTGAGCCCTAAAACGCTAAATAAAGCCTAGACCCTCAACCCGAATCCTAGGTGGGATAAGGGGGACCCTTAAAAGGGAACCCCTTCTTGACCCTCTTGTGGCTCTCTTAACAAGGGACCTTATTCAGAGGGTCTATATCCCCAAGGGTCCCCCTATTCCTATCCCCTACCGAAACCCTAAACCCTAAATCCTAAACCCTAAAACCAACCCTAAACACCCTAAACCCTAAACCCGAAACCCCTCTGCGTGGAAGGCTGCTGCCATTCTCCGCTGCCCTCGGCTCATGCGCAGGGGCCTTGGGTTTAGGCTTTAGGCTTTAGGGTTTCGGGTTTAGGGTTCAGGGTTGAGGGTTTAGGGTTTAGGGTTTAGGGTTCAGGGTCATGTTCGGTTTGGGCGTTGGGGTTTTGAGGTCTGTTTAGGGTTTACGGTTTTCGGGTTGAGGGTTTAGGGTTTTAGGGCTTCAGGGTTTAGGGTTTTAGGATTTTGGGGGTGTTGGGTTTGGGGGCTTCGGTTGTTTTATTTTTCATTTTTTTTTTTTTGGGGGGGGGGGGGGTACTAGAATCCCATTTTTACAAACAGCTCCTTAATAGGGATTTTAAAAAAGGGTGGAGGGGGGGACGAAAATCCCTACCAGAGACTGTTAGTATAAGGGGGGAGCATCCCAAAGTACCACACCCTGAGGAGACTGGGCGACCTGGAACTGCTACTTGCCACAGCCCTGCATGAACTCTCACAATCTTCTACTGCTTCTGCTAGGGTTTCGGGTTTAGGGTTTAGGGTTTAGGGTTTAGGGTAAATCAATTGTATGAGAGTATGCAGCCTGAAACTTTGTTGAATCTACCTGCAGGCATCGGGCCAGTGCCGGCACTGGTACCCTGCCTTCAGCCCTACTTGCAATTCTTGGAAAAGTAGAATGCAATCAGCAGATGAAGGGTTCTGGAGTCAGGTCTTAAGTTTGCGCAGTATAAACTTCAGAAGTTGGATCACATGGTACACTGCACCCTGAAACCAAGCCCAAATCCCCAGAGTTCCATAACCCCAACAACCCCAAACCCCCCCCCTTTGTAGAATCCCGTATTTGCTTTATTGCAAGGGGGAACATCCCTTCGAGATACTGCTCAAGCAAAGCAGGGCCATGCCGGCGTAGTCTTTTCAACTTTCAACTGCCAGCCCAGGCTGTTCAGCAGTATAGTAGTATACTTTGTTTTACTTGTTTTTGGGTTCGGGGTTCCCTATACTAGGTAAGTAGCCCAAACAGTATGTACTTTTTGTTTTCTCCCTGGGCCACTGCAAATCATAAGACAGAGACGGCTCTCGCGACTTAGCATGGCGGAAGCCTGTGCGGCACAGGTGGATTCTGACCAGGAGACTCCTGCAGCTGTCGCCACTGGAGAGCAGGTGAGCGATGTGGCCCTGGACTTCGGGGAGGAGTCCATGCCAGCGAGCTCCGTTTTGCTTCGCCTGGCTTCTCCGGTGTTCAACCGCATGCTCGAGAGTGATATGAAGGAGGCACAGCAAAAAGTCATCAAGGTGGACGTGGCAGTGGCGACCAAACAAGACTTCCAGGTCTTCTATGCCTTGCTCGGACCCGGCGCCTGGAGCACGGACAAGGTGACGGAAGACAGTGTCGATGGGCTCCTTTCCATCAGCGACTACTACCAGGTGGACTTCATCAAGGAAGCCTGCTTGAAGAAGCTCGCGAACCTGCCCGTCACGGCCCAGCGCTTCGTGCAAGCAAACAAGCACGGCCTCAAGAGGCAACGCGATCGATGCCTGCATGAGCTGGCCAGGAGGGGTGGGGAGGAGGAGTTGGTGATGCTCCACACTGCCAACTCCGATCTCTTGCTGGAAGTGGCGCTGAAGAAGCAAAAACTCTTCAAGAACTTCGAACGCAATGTCCCAGCGTTTTGAAAGTCTTTCGCGCCTTTAGGTCCTACCCTAAGGGTCCATGTACCTTGTTATCGTATACTTGGGCCCCAAAGTCCCGAAAAAGGAAGTACGTTCAGGCCCAAGTATTCCCTTTTAGGTACCTTAAACCCCGAACCCTATAAACCCTAAACCCTGAAGCCTAAACCCTAAACCCTAAACCCTAAACCCTAAACCCTAAACCTATTTAGGAACATGGACCCTTAGGGTTCGTTTTGGGGAGCTGTCAGACAGGTAGTGCCAGAAGTGCACCAGACGGCGCAAGGGGGTCTCGGAATCAGGGCTCCCGTAGGGTTTAGGGTTTAGGGTTTGGGGTTTGGGGTTTAGGGTTTAGGGTTTGGGGTTTAGGGTTTAGGGTTTAGGGTTTGGGGTTAGGGTTTAGGGTTTAGGGTTTAGGGTTTAGGGTTTAGGGGTGGTGACAATGAAACCCAAGCATCCTCAAAGCGTGTACCCCAAACTTCTTGCTATTTGTTGGATGATCAGGGGTTGCCATTCTCCCCCTGCTTCTTACTAGGGAATGAGGGAATGAGGGCCCTATTTTTCTCCTAAAGGATATATATATATACATATATATATAAAGCCCTCATTCCCCAGTCCCGACTAAGAACCAGCCAGTTCTTGGCTTTCAAACGGGTCGCGGATGTTATACCCCCACACGGGCTTAGCGCTGTCTGTGCTGTCGGAAGGTTTATATTCGGGTTTCGGGTTTAGGGTTTAGGGTTTAGGGTTTAGGGTTTAGGGTTTAGGGTTGGGATGGTTAAGCCCCCGAAACCCCAACATGTACACCCTAAGGGTCCAGGGCTCAAGTAGATAATTATGAGGTACATGGACCCTCAGGGTTAAGTACCCAAAGCCCCGAAACCCTAAACCCCTTAAGCCTTAAACCCCTCAACACTAGCTTAGTAGCTGAGTAGGTAACCTTTAACCCTTCGGGCTATACATTATCCTACCAGAATTGAAAGGTTGACCTTTTTGGGGCCCAGGATACTCAGCAACTAGGCTAAGACCATGTTGTTCTTGGTTCATGGGAAAACCTACGCAGCGTGCTTCAGGTGACAGTGTGCTGGCACCAGCTGCAAAGGCCAGCTGATCAGTTTAGGGTTTAGGGTTTAGGGTTTAAGGTTTAGGGTTTAGGGTTTAGGGTCCCTGAGGGTCCATGTACCTTACTATGATATACTTGGGCCCCAAAGTACCTATGTAGGAGGTACTTTACCAAGGCATGAAGGCCCAAGTATTCCCTATTTAGGTACTTGGACCCTTAGGGTGATCAGTTTAGGGGTCAGGGTTCAGGGTTCAGGAGTTGAAATTAAACCCTAAACCCTAAACCCTAAAGGCCCTAAACCCTAAACCCTAAACCCTAAACCCTAAACCCTGAACCCTCGTTGGGCCTTGAGGGTTTTGGCATTTTGGGGGCTCGCAGGCTTCGTGGGTTCATGATCTTAGTAGTCTCTTTTGTGCTAGGGTTTGGGGTTTGGGGTTTAGGGTTTAGGGTTTAGGGTTTAGGGTTTAGGGTTTAGGGTTTAGGCTCTAGGGTCTAGGGTTTAGGGTTTAGGGTGTAGGGAGCTGTAGGGGCTCATCGCAGTTTAGAGGAGCTGACCTCACGGCGCGTCCTCGCGCTGCTGGAGCGGATCATGCAGCTGACGACGGAGTGCCGAGAGGTTCTCCCAGCCCACTCCCTGCGGTGTGGGGTTTAGGTTTAGGGTTTAGGGTTTAGGGTTCAGGATTTAGGGTTTAGGGTTTAGGGTTTGTTGTTTAGGGTTTAGGGTTCAAGGTTTAGGGTTTAGGGTTTAGGGTTTAGGGTTTAAGGGTTTAGGGTTTAGGGTTTCGGGTTTAGGGTCTAGGGTTTAGGCTTCACGCCCGTTTTTCGCGGGTGTAGGTTTGCCCCACAGCCCCGCACCGGCATTCCGAAACTTTCCCGAACCCCGAAGCCCGACACTGCAGATTTCCAACCTAGAGCCTAAGCCCTGAACCCTAAGCCCCAATTCCTAAACCCCAAACCCCAAACCCTAAATCGAGTTTGGGAGGCTTCAACGCAACTCGAACCGCCCAAAGAAACATTAGTAAAGAAAACATATATATATATGTACATATATGAATAGTAGTAATAGTACTAATAGTAATCATAATCATAATAAAAATAGTCATGATCGTAGTAGTACATTCGCCCTAGGCTTACACCCTAAACCCTATCACCTACATAAAGCCCTAGGCCCCTCACGACCCGAAACCCCGACGAGCAAGAAAGAGTCTGCCTATAGTTGGTACGGCAAGGACTTGAGGGTGCTTTCCATCTGCTAGTCTGCTGGGTTCTTAGAGCTCACGGCTCGAAGCCCCTAAACCCTAGAACCCTGAACCCTCAACCAGACGATGGAGCCAGAGCGTCTACGGGTGTATGGGTTCATGGCTTTGGCCTGCGCTTTCAGGCTTAGGGCTTAGGGCTTAGGGCTTAGGGCTTAGGGCTTAGGGCTTAGGGTTTAGGGTTTAGGGTTTAGGGTTAAGGTCCCTCGGACCGATACACGCTAAACCCTAAACTTTCCTCGCAGCGTCCTAGTAGGGCTTCTTCTGAGTCGACACGCTAAACCCCGACCCCTGAGTTCGGACCCCCCGTAGCCCTCAACCCTGGACCCAATACCCAGTACACCCTTACCCTAAACCCTGAACCCTGAATCCTATCAACCCTGCGTGTGTGAACAGGCCGCTTGGTCTGGTCCTTAGGTGCTAAGGCACGGGGAGACTGTGCAGTTGCCCAGCCTCGCCGCAGCATCAAAGCATGCACTGAGAAGCTAGCCTAGGATCTGTTACCGTGGAGTTTTTTTAGGAAGGGCATCCAAGAACTTGTACAACTCCCAATGCTCTATATCTCCCTAACCGTAAGCCCAAAACCTGAAGATCGAATTGAGGGGTATTTCCCAAATAGGGTTCATCCATGAAGCCCTTGACTCACACCTTCCGAAACCCTAAGCCCTAATCCCTAAGCCCCTAAGCCCAAGCCCTACACCCTAAACCCTAAACCCTAAACCCTAAACCCTAAACCCTAGAACTTGACCCCTCTCCGACATTGATCTTGAAGCATGGACCTTCGCCTTCAGCTCTGCTTCGGCACAGGACTGGGCCGCTGCGGGCGAATTCGCTAGGGTTTAGGGTTCAGGGTTCAGGGTTTAGGGTTTAGGGTTTAGGGTTTAGGGTTTAGGGTTTAGGGTTTGGGGACCTTTAGGGTCTCTTTTTCCTCAGCCTCGGTGTGCGGTTGTTAGATGTTAAACTCAACTCTTCTCCTCGCTTGGGACTCTTCTCCTCGCCCGCTCTACTCCTGGCTCATCCCTGGAGTGTCCAACCCCCTGAGTGTCCCTGGAGTGCCCAACCCCAGAGTGTCCTTGAAGTGCCCAACCCCAGAGTGTCCCTGGAGCGCCCAACCCCAGAGTATCTCTAAACAGAGAGGGTGGGGATGTGCGAAGTAAGAGTATTGTTTATTTACGTAAACGCAAGGGTATATTGATCTCATGAAGGTTCTAAGGGCAGTACGGTCAAAACTTATGATAAGAAAGGTTCGAAGGTCCACCAGAGTCTGGGACATTTCTTAACCAGGCAGATGTATTAAGAAAGGTAGATTTGAGGCGAGAGTCTTGAAAACATTTCTTATTCAACCTGTCCAACCCTTTGCTTTCTCCGCCCTCCAGCCCTCCAGCCCTCCAGCCCTCCAGCCCTCCAGCCCTCCAGCCCTCCAGCCCTCCAGCCCTCCAGCCCTCCAGCTGGAGGGCTGGAGGGCTGGAGGGCTGGAGGGCTGGAGGGCTGGAGGGCTGGAGGGCTGGAGCCTTGCAAAAAGGCCATTCAATTTGTAATTACGTTTGGGTTGCGATTCAGACTCTGAATATAATTATTTTTCTCAATTCGAGAGTCTAATTTCTTGCTTCATAAAATTTCTTAACACAAAGTTCCACCGTATAGGGTGTAGGGGGGTGCAGGGTCTAGGCTCACCAGAAACCTCCGCCTCTTCAGCAACCGCTTCGTTCCCTGAGGCAGGGGAGCTGTGTGCACTTCCGCCCCCAAAGAGGCTGGCGAAGTGACTTTGCCACCCGCACTCCCCGCAAACAGGGGTTTGGGGCAGTTTAGGGCTACGCTCTTTCTTGATGTTTCTTAGGTAGGGACGGACACTCTCTTAAACTATGACCCAGAGCAGGCCCTAATTCCCTATTTTTGAGGGTTGAGCTTACCTTATAAGCCCCTTTTCAACCGAAAAGGGCACCCTTTTCTTCCTAGCTAACTCTTGGGTCGCTCTAAACCCTAGCCGCCCTAAACCCTATACGGGGGGACAACCAAGGAAGGAAATCAACTCCCCTAATCGCCCTGAACTTATATTTCCCAGATCGAACCAAGAAACAACCAAGAACACGGATAAGAGCAACCCAGGGGGGAAGGAAAAGGGGAAGGAATCCACACCCTTACCAAACCCTAAGAACCCAGGCACTACTTTTTGAACTTGTGGCTTTCTGTTCAAGCCCATCTTGAGCCAAATACGATTACCGGGTTCATTAACCCTTCCAACTTCCAACACTAACTCCTTTCTACAATACCAATTGCAGCTCCGCACTCCCCCTGTCCTAGGATTTCCTAGGACACATTGGAGATGCAGATCTTTTGGCCAAAAACTGCCATTACGGCAGCAGCCAGCTGCTTGAAATGCAAATTGTGGTTTAACGTCTTCCAGGACGGAATTATAGCACATTGGCTAACCTACTACCCGTAGAGAATCTTTTTTCACCTTGATCCTCTCATCACTGAAGACTCCTTGGCCTTCTTCACCACAAACCGTGGTCTTCGCTACGCGAAAAGCTACTGACTCCTACTATCAGGGATTTCCAAACCCTTAATAGTAACCACCACATTGTCAGCACATTGGCTGTTCCAGCGCACCGGTCTCCAGAAAGAGAAAAACCATCCCTTCATCCATACCATCCAATCACTTCTTTTTCCGATTGTTGGCAATCTTG